TAGTAGTAGTAGGAGGAGTAGTGGTAGTAGTAGAAATAATAATAGTGGTGGTATGCTTTACTAGTGTAATAATAATTCGAACGATGAAAATACGAATACTACGAATTAAAGTAATAATGTCGAAGATATGTATATATACAGAGAAAGAGAGAGAGAGAGAGAGAGAAGGAACGAACAAAAAAGAAAGAAAGAGAGAGAGAGAGAGACAGAAAGGCACAGAGAGAGAACGAGAGGAAGGGAACTGTGTGTATGTCTCTATGCACGTGTACATAAATACATATATGTGTATACATACACACACAAGGCGGACACCATTGGGGGGCCCCCGCACGCGGGGGCCCCGCCGACGGCCCACCCATGGCACCGAGAGATGACTGGAGCTCCCCGCACAAAGGGCCTCTGACTGGACCGGCCCACGGGAGCCCCGGCGGCGGCGGCGGCGGCGGCGACGAGAGCGACGCCATCGTCTCGGGGGCAGCTATTCAGACGTGAACAGCCCTGGCCGCAGGGTCTTCGGACTCACCACGCTCTGGCCACTGAGACCCCCGCCTCACGAGGAGGTGGAGTGGTGGAATCGGGTGAGGCGTGAGCCATTGGAAAATGGGGGGACCTTCGGGGGCGCCTCGGGGGGGCTCTCACCGCGTTTCGGGGGGGCTCTTGTTTTGGGCGGGCTCCGGGAGCCCAGCGGCGGACAGCAGCAGCAGCACCAGCAGCAGCAGCAGCACCAGCGGCAGCAGGCAGAGCACATTCTCGGTGCCGAGGCGGGGGGGCCTGGTCGATGCCCAGCATGGTCAGAAACGGTCCGAGTGGAGGAGGAAACACTGGAGCTGTGGATCCCAGGCCTGCCTGAGGAGCAGTCTTGAGCAGATGTTGGCCCGGCGTCGATGAGGACGGTCGAGCAGAAAGGCCTACGTGTCCAACTCCAGAATGAGCAGAGTGCCTCCTCAACGACCCCGCGAGGGGCTCGTTCGGCACCATACAGGGTCGGAAGCGGTCGGAGAAGGGCGCGGGCACGAAGGGGTGGGGCGACGGAGCACCCCGCATCACAGCAAGACGGCGGAGGATACGCCCGAAAGTTCGGAAAGACGACGGCGGCGACGACGAGGCGGACGCCTCCGCCCCGGGGGGGAGGCTTCGGAGGCGTCCGCAGAGGGCTCTCGCCGCCTCTCGGCGGGGGGGGCCGGTTCGGAGAGGGGGGCCAGGGTGGACCCCGGCAGAACGGCGCTTGCGATGAGAGGCGGCGCTGTCACGCTGCCTTTCGGGTTGGGTCGGGCGTGTCACCCTACAGGCGGATTGTGGACGAAAATCAAAAATACTCAAAACGGATGGGAGGAGGAAGAGGAGGAAGAGGAGGAGAAGGAGGAAGAAGAAGAGGAGGAGGAGGAGCGGGAGGAGGAGGAGGAGGAGGAGAAGGAGGAGGAGGAGGAGGGAGGTTACCCCGATAGGTCTTTAGAAATCCCCTGGCCAGTAGATGGAAAACAAATATCTTTCGGGCGAATTTATTGACAAGTCGGAAAAACGACCCCACCCGACAAAATCGGAAAACATGATGGACCCACGAACCCGGAAAGGGATATAGACATGTGGAGCATGGACACGTTTTCACGATACCCAACTGGGCAACACCTCACGAAACATCCCACGAGACACTTCACGAAACATCCCACGAGACACCTCACGAAACATTCCACGAGACACCTCACGAAACATTCCACGAGACACCCCGCGAAACATTCCACGAGACACCCCACGAAACATTCCACGACGACAGGCAACCACTCAACCAAGGCGGTGTGGTCGTGCTGGGGAGTGGTCGTGCTGGGGTGTGGTCGTGCTGGGGGGTGGTCGTGCTGGGGGGGTGGTCGTGCTGGGGGGTGGTCGTGCTGGGGCGTGGTCGTGCTGGGGCGTGGTCGTGCTGGGGCGTGGTCGTGCTGGGGTGTGGTCGTGCTGTGGTGAGGTCGTGCTGGGGTGTGGTCGTGCTGGGGTGTGGTCTTGCTGGGGTGGGGTCGTGCTGGGGTGTGGTCGTGCTGGGGTGTGGTCGTGCGTGGTCGTGCTGGGTGGGGTCGTGCTGGGGTGGGGTCGTGCTGGGGTGTGGTCGTGCTGGGGTGTGGTCGTGCTGGGGTGTGGTCGTGCTAGGGTGGGGTCGTGCTGGGGTGGGGTCGTGCTGGGGTGTGGTCGTGCTGGGGTGTGGTCGTGCTGGGGTGTGGTCGTGCTGGGGCGTGGTCGTGCTGGGGTGGGGTCGTGCTGGGGTGGGGTCGTGCTGGGGTGTGGTCGTGCTGGGGTGGTCCGCACCCTGTGATTTATCGATCGGGTCGTGCTGGGGTGTGGTCGTGCTGGTGCTGGGGTGTGGTCGTGCTGGGGTGTGGTCGTGCTGGGGTGTGGTCGTGCTGGGGTGTGGTCGTGCTGGGGTGTGGTCGTGCTGGGGCGTGGTCGTGCTGGGCGTGGTCGTGCTGGGGTGTGGTCATGCTGGGGGTGTGGTCGTGCTGAGGTGTCCCGCACCCTGTGATTTATCGATCGGGATTTCAAAAACAAGCGTTTCGCCTGAGACATCCTCAAATTTTAATCCGCCGGCCTCCTTCGACCTCGATATTTATCAGGGAAAGAATCCGCCGGCCTCCTTCAAGTTGGGCACGGGGGACTATGTTTACATACTAAAAGAGAACCCTGGGCCTGAGCCCTTTCCGGGAAAAATATAGTTCGGGCGGTCCGACGACAAAGACGAAGACGAAGGCGATAACGAGTACGTGTGCGATTACGACTACGACAGCGATGCGACGACGAAGACGAAGACGCATGTGCGCGGCGCTAAGGCGAGAGTTGGATTTTGAACCACACCAGCCCTCGATCCTTGTAACTGTTACAAGCTTTTAAGACGAGAGTGCGCGGCGCTGAGACGAGAGCTGCACTTTGAACCACACCAGCCCTCCATTTTTGTAACTGTTGCAAACTTTTCGGCTGTTGAGAGAAAGAGAAAATTGCGAGGGGCGCATTCGGCGACAAAGGAGTGGGTCCATATTGCAATCCTCTCACAAACGCGCTCAGAATTCCTCTGTCGTGTAGGGCAGCCCACGAGGCATTATTCACTGGGAGCAAGAACCCACCAACGTTATTCAGCTTGGCGCGCAATAGTGGGAATCTAATCGGTGCCCCGCGGCGCGGGCGCCGACGCCGAAGATGAATACATACATTACATATGTACTAGCGCAGCTACCACTCTTGCAAGCAGGACGAGAGAAAGAGAAGATTTGCAAGAGCGCTTTCGGCGACAAACAAATGGATCTGTATTGCACTTCTCTGTGAATGCGCTCAGGATTCCTCTGTCGCGTAGGGTTGCCCACTTATTCTCTGGGAGAAAGAACCCCCCAACATTATTCAGCACGACGGCCAATAGCGGGAAACTAATCGGCGCCCCGCCGCTGAAGATTAAGAAATGCATTACATATGTACTGGCGCATACCACAATATTCTTGCAAACAGGGCGAGAAAGAGAAGATTGGTAGAAGCGCCTTCGACGACGAACGAGTGGAGTTATATTGCACTTATCTTACAAACGCGCTCAGAATTCCTCTGTCGTGTAGGGGTGCCCCGCGGCGCTGAGGCGAGGGCTGCACTTTGAACCACGCGTGCCCTCCATCCTCGAAGCTGCTGCAAACTTTTAAGACGAGTGTGCGCGGCGCTGAGGCGAGATCTGCACTTTGAACAACACGAGCCCTCCATCCTTGAAACTGTTGCAATATGTTTAAAACGAATGTGCGCGGCGCTAAGGCGAGATCTGCACTTTGAACAACACGAGCCCTCCATCCTTGAAACTGTTGCAAACTTTTAAAACGAATGTGCGCGGCGCTGAGGCGAGGGCTGCACTTTGAACAACACGAGCCCTCCATCCTTGAAACGGATGCAAACTTTTAAAACGAATTGTCGCGGCGCTAAGGCGAGATCTGCACTTTGAACAACACGAGCCCTCCATCCTTGAAACTGTTGCAAACTTTTAAGACGAATTGTCGCGGCGCTAAGGCGAGATCTGCACTTTGAACAACACGAGCCCTCCATCCTTGAAACTGTTGCAAACTTTCAAGACGAATGTGCGCGGCGCTAAGGCGAGAGCTGCGCTTTGAGGAGGATGAGAAGTTTCGGGAGCGGACGAGTTTCGGGACGAGTTTATTCACCGCGGAGAGCTCCAGGGGGGGGGGGGGACCAAAACTAAAGACGTATAGAGGTTTCTCAGAAACCAAGAGCCCCACTCAGGATGCGAGGGGCGCCTGCGGTGGGCTGCTCTGCACCTTGCACTAGACGGCACCATCGTGTGCCGTCGCCCACGTGCCTCTTGCCGCCGCTCGGGCGTCCATTCCCTGGGCATTGTTTGGCTTCGTGCGTGCTTTGGCTCCTCAGGATGGTCCAAGATGCCCCAACATGGTCCTGAGCAGCATCGTTTATCCGACCCCCATCCCCAGCGGTGTGGCCTGGGCCCGACCGGGCGATTAACCCCCGTAGATGGGAATCTAGGCCGTTCCCTTTGGGCTTCGAGGGGTATATCCCCAACTGGGGTGGTGAGATGGTGGGGCTCGGGACGGAGATGGGGATGGGGATCGGTTAAATGATACTGACCAGCATGGTCCATCTGTTCTGACGCTGGCTTCGCCGCGACAAAGGCACACGCACGAACGATGCCAGGGCCCCTTCGACGCTCGCTGGTCGCCTCACGCCGGCCCAGCAGCTCGGGGCGCCCGGCTCTGTCCTGTGACGCCAAGGCCCTGCCCTGTGTGCATGCTGAGCTGATGCGCGCGTGCACGCAGGAGCCATTTCCTCCTTCTGCTTCTCCTCCTCCTCCTCCTTCCTCCTCCTCCTCCTCCTCCTCCCTTCTACTCCTCCCCCCTCCTCCTCCTCCTCCTCCTTCTACTCCTCCTCCTCCTCCTCCTCCTCATCCTCCTCCTCCTCCTCCTCTGTGCTGATGCTCGCGTGCACGCAGCAGCCATTCACGTCAATGCCGTGCGACCGTGCAGTCACATGTCTACCAACGCCCTCACTGGCACTCCCGCTTTTTCCAGCCCTTTTCTCAGCTCCTTGTTCTTGGTGTCCTCCTCCTTTCGCATGCGGCTGATGTGCTTCCTCGAGGCCTTTTCCACTTTGGCCACGGCCTTCGGGTCGAGCTGCAAGTGATCTGTGAAAAGGATACTGAGTAGATCACTGTTGCTGTGCAGCCGCCTGTTCTCGAAGCCAACATAGTCGCGCACGATCCAATTGTAGCGAAGCATCTCTGTGTGAATGCCGTGGTGTTCCTTCTTTACCTTCAACATGCCTTTCTCCTGGTCGGCCTTGGGGAAACCAAAGGTACCGATACCGCTACTCCCTGGACCTCTCCTGGGGTGCGTTCTGACCAGGATTTTGAGGCGAATCCAGCGGTGGCGACGAGGAGCTCCCAGGAGGCCCGAAAAGGGGAAAACGAAGGGTAGAGGTATGGGTACCTTTTCCTTCTCTGAGGCCTCGCGGAGGCCTGCGTCGAGGCCGTAGCGCGCGAACCCGTCGCTCGCAGCCTTCCGTGTGATCCTGGCGTACAAAGTGCGGTACACCGCGAATATCCGCTGGCCTCGATGGCTGGCCCAGCACGATCCTCCTCCTCCTCCTCCGCCTCCGCCTCCTCCTCTTTCCTCTTCCTGCTCCTCCTCCTCCTCCCACCTCCTCCTCCCTCCTCCTCCTCCTCCTCCTCCTCCTCCTCCTATTCCTCCTCCTCGTCCCTCCTCCTCCTTCTCCTCCTCCTTCTCCTCCTCCTCGGGTGCGGCTGCTCAAAATCCGCAGTCCAGCGATCCGACGGAAGCCTAACTCGTAATCGTGACCGCACCGACCAAATTCATGCCAAATAAGCTTCTCGAGCTCAGCGCGTTATCATACCGATCCGATCTTGCAATCCACGACCACGTGACCGGCGATCACAACAACCTCGACAAACAATTATGGATCTCCCCTCGCTTGCATCGCACCGCGATGTCTGTGCCGAAGCCAAAGAGAATCGGTAGACGAGACGCCTCCCCAGGCACACACAGTGGGCGGCAAGAGTCGGCCTCAGCGCAAGGGGCGCACGGTTTCTAGTGATGTGACCACCAAGCCCACCCTGCCCAAACCCCGAACACCTAACTCGAAGGCGAATAAGAACGGTATGTATGTGTATGTATACGTATAGGTATAACTGTCGCACGTCGGGCGCTACATCAAATCTACCCGACTCGGGAAATATTCCAAATGATCAATCATGCAGCCATAGATACGCATTGAAGTTCAGCAACTTGCTGGTAGCCCAGGGGCGTGGTATCGAAAGGGCAAAAGACATGGGGGCATGGTTCCAGAATTGACGAATTGAGCACAGCGCCCCCAATTAAAGGCATTAAGGGATCATGGATCATGACCCGCTTGCATTTCGTGGCAGCACATGGCTTGTGATGCCCAAGCGGTCAAGCAGCATCGAGCAGCCGCAGCGTTGGATTTCAAACCCGAAGTCAATTCCTGAACCGTTTGCGTGGGACGTTCTGGCGCGCACCAGAAGTCACAATCTACATAACACGTGTCGAATCGCTAGGGGCGCAAGCCCATTCATGACACGGTGTGTGTGTGTGTGTGTGGCAAGCATCGGTTGTACCTCTTGCACTGAGCGAATCAAGTAAGAGCATCCAACTGCTTAAACGATGGTAAACCTGTGTATCCAATCGCGCAGGCACGGTTGCCATCATGCATGTCTACATGACGCCGTGCGGACATGTCAGCAAGCCTACCAGTCACCTTACTGGGTGGGCGGGGCTCTGTTCAGACCAGTCAGTGAGTCCCAGAATGGGACAAACTGAATAAAACACTCGACACACCGAAACATGCGCATCATCTGAATAAGATCATTGGCTGGATTGGTGGGCGCTGGATGGGAGAGTGCATTGCAGAAACGGCCCAAGAAACCCAAAGCACCCGGACGAGAAGCATGTTGATTCTTGGTGTGCGTGCCCACTGTAGTGTCTGATTAACCGGCCGCCCACCTCCTTACCTTCGGACAGACTTCGGGAGCAATTCGGCACCACTCATGCAGAACACTGGCGAGCGGGTAATCGAATGTTCGACTCGCCCGTGGCCGCCGTGGCCAAGGTTGGCCCGCGGCCCTCGCGGAGAGTCCAAGCGGGGAGGCGTCCGATCGCCCGTGGCCCTCGTCGGGCCTCCAGGGGCCTCTGGGGCTCCGGGGGCCTCCGGGGGCCATCGGACCGGGGCGGCAGCAAGGCTTACCAGTTGCACGGGCCCGCCTCCACTTCTTCGCCTCTCTCCCCCCCTTCTCCTCCGACTGTGTCTCGCCTTCCTGGGATCGCGCGGCGGAGCCCCGGGCATATCCATATCCACCGCCTGCAGAAGTCCCCGAAGATCGATCCCCAGACGGCGACTACGGATTAGTCCTCGCCTCCGAGAGGGAAGCGGGGAGAGAACGAGGTGGGTCTGCACAGCTGTGAGGGGCAACGGTCGGGGGGGGGGGCTGGCCCAGGGGAGGCAACATCGACCTGGAATCGGCGATGCGTCGCAGACGGATCGGCCACAGGCACCCAATCGCGAAACCGCACGCTCCTGGGCGGGGTATGATATCAGGCTCACATCGGCGATCCATGGGCGGTGGGGGGTCGACGCGTTCCCCCTTGAGCCTATCCTCTCCTGCCGCTGCCCCCGAAGCTGCCCTCCCCCGAGCGATGGGCAAAAACGACTGAGGCCCCGGCGCAGCTCGGCAGGCGTCGGCACCTGGAGGCTGTTGCCCCGCATCGCGGAGATCGCCTTCTCCACCACCTGGGCGGCGAGGGTAAAAAGAAGTCCCCTCACAGGAGAGGAAAAGAGCACGCCCAACCACACCTGGCTCCCCTCCGCAGAGCGGGCGGGCCCGTTGGGGATGGGGTATACTTTCTGCACCCCTTGCGCGAGGCATCCTCGCGGTCGGGAGCCGAAGCTCTTTGGCCCAGCCCGTAAAGGAAGGGGGGCCAGGTGGGGGTGGAAGAGTGTTTTCTTTTCCCAACACCAGATCTGGGCGTCGCGACACAAACAACATTGTGACGACTGTTCGTTTGTCTACGCTCTCTAAGCTCTCGGCCCCTGGAGGCCGTCTCCTGGCCCCAGGGGCCCTCAGCGAACGGCTGAAGATGAAAAGCTGGTCCTGGGGAGAGAATCGAGATCTCCAAGGGCCGACGTCACGAAAAAATGCGACGTCGGAGGAAAGGGTCTTGCGCGTGAGGACACGGCGACTCTGCGCGGCGACTTTCGCAGGCCGCCGCAGTGGCAGGCGGCGTGGAACCAAGACTCCGACGCCGCGAGCTTGCTCACGACATCTGCCCCCCGAGCTCCGGACCCCTTCCCGGGCACTGGATGTTCAGCCCGCGCGGGTCGTTTGGGGATGGCCCTGGGGCCCAGAGAGGGCCCCCAGATGGCGTTGCGAGGAGGAGGAGGAGGGGAGGAGGGGGGGGGGAGGGGGGAGGAGGAGGAGGAGGAGGAGAGGAGGGAGGAGGAGGAGGAGGAGGAGGGAGGAGGAGGAGGAGGAGGAGGAGGAGGAGGAGGAGGAGAAGGAGGAGGAGGAGGAGGAGGAGGAGGAGGAGAATAGGGAGGAGGAGGAGGAGAATAGGAAGGAGGAGGAGGAGGAAGAGGAGGAGCCTCCCGCTGCGTCTGGTTCGCGTCGCGAGGAGGTCTGGGAAGCGACGGCGCTCACGCCCGGCCCTGCATGAGCAGCTTGCGCGCGAGCGCCGGTGCAGGCGGACCGCCTTCGTCAGTTTGTTGGGCAAGAGCTGAGCATTCTCCTAAGGTGGAGGGCTCAGGGTGAAATCCATCTGAGCTTTTGCACCTCGAAAATCAATCCGTCTTGCGACTCACCTTTTGCAGATTCAGACCTCGAACATCAATCGAAACGGCATTTCAGATTTCACCCTGTGCCCTCCACCCGAAGAAAGTGCTCGGAAGAAACACGCCACCCACCTCGGCCGAGAACAGGTCGGCGGCAGCGGTGTTCGGGTTCTTGAGCATGAAGCAGCGCGTCCCCGCAGTCGCGGGCGCTCCCCTGGCTTCTGCCCTGGCGTAATCCGCCCACCCAGGCGACGATTCGAGTGGCACGCTGGGTCCCCTCGTGGCCGACTGGAGGAGTGGCCGGGGGGGAGAAGCGGTGTGGAGGGGAGGGGGAGGTACAGGCGAGAGAAGGAGGAGTGGACGGGACAGGAAGGAAGGAGAGAAGGAGCAGGCAGGAGGGGAGGGTGAAGGTGGCGTTGAAGGGGGTGGGAAATGGAGGGAAGAAGGGGAGGGGAAGGAGGAACACACGATCAGCTTTGCGGCTTCAACTTCTACCCTGCACACTTGTGCTATACATGTGGGACGATGATGTGGCAGCGTACCCTTCATGATTAAACATGCGAATGTACACTCTGCAGCAACTCGCCGCAATCGACATATTTGCGCTGATTGAGCACACGTGCACGCGGAATTCGATGATGAAGATGACCGGTGACTGCATCGACGGTCACTGGACCAAATGCGGCTCTGCCACCAGTGGCTACAAGCTGACTGGACCGAGCGTGAACAAGGTAACTGGTATTTGCAAGGTGACTGCGCCATTGCTGGGTATATTGCTGATGTGTCTGCCCGTGCTAACACATCCGCATGCGTACGCACAAACACATGTATACGCCTCCGTCTTTAGTTCTAGTCGTCTCGCAGGAACCTAGGCGTCGCCGAAGAGGAAACACCATTCCACGACTGGAATACGGCAAGAAGAGGTGCGGCAAAGACGGCAGGAGGAGGAACAACTCACTCAGGACGTTCGGGAAAAAGTGCGTTGACTACACCACCGCTTGCTGGGCTGACCCTGTACGCTGAAACTAGAAGTGAGGAGCCTGAGGCGTCAGACATAATCCGCCGGCCCCCTTGTGGGGCCACCAGGCTGCGAGGCACGGGTTCGCAGTTTCCAGTACCAGTTGTAGCTTGTAGTTTCCAGTGTTACAGTTCTGCTTTTTGCTGGTTACTGTAACTAGTTGATTGACCGCGCGAGGGGGGGGAGGCCCAAACGGGATTTTTAGCGTCCCTGGGCGCGTTGTCTGAATTGCTGGGGGGGCTCGAAATCGACACACCTCACGCAGATCCGCGGGGTCAGGGTCCAAAAACACAGGGGATTTGCCACATTTCTGAAATTCGGTGCCACCCCTCACGCAGATCCGCGGGGTCAGGGTCCAAAAACACAGGGGATTTGCCATTCTGAAATTCGGTGCTCACGCCGCTCACGCATTTCTGCGGGGTCAGGGTCCAAAACACACGGATTTGCCACATTTCTTCGCGCCACCCCTCACGCAGATCCGCGGGGTCAGGGTCCAAAAGCACAGGGGATTTGCCACATTTCTGAAATTCGGTGCCACCCCTCACGCAGATCCGCGGGGTCAGGGTCCAAAAACACAAGGGATTTGCCACATTTCTGAAATTCGGTGCCACCCCTCACGCAGATCCGCGGGGTCAGGGTCCAAAAACACAGGGGATTTGCCACATTTCTGAAATTCGGTGCCACCCCTCACGCAGATCCGCGGGGTCAGGGTCCAAAAACACAAGGGATTTGCCACATTTCTGAAATTCGGTGCCACCCCTCACGCAGATCCGCGGGGTCAGGGTCCAAAAACACAAGGGGATTTGCCACATTTCTGAAATTCGGTGCCACCCCTCACGCAGATCCGCGGGGTCAGGGTCCAAAAACACAGGGGATTTGCTACATTTCTGAAATTCGGTGCCACCCCTCACGCACATCCATCGCAAGGCGTGGTAACCCAAACTGCGAGTACTCCCTCGGCCCTTTAATCCCAAGGTGTGGTAACCAAGCTCGTAAACCATACACGTCTTACCAATCGCCCTGTGTGGTAACCCCTCTTGTGATCAGTTGGTTTTGCCGATTGCGAATCGGCCTCGCATGAAGTTCCGATACTGCTGCACGACAGCGCCAAAGCCTCATGACTTAGCTCTTCCATGGCCCATTCTCCGAGAGAGGGGGCCGGCGGCAGGGGGCGAAGCCCTTACGGATAATAGCAACGTATATCCAAACAGGTGGCTTTCTCAACTGACAGAGGCACGCGTCAATGTACCGAGAGGCATTCGTATAAATAATGTCGGTCAGATCATCGTTGGAGCTTGAGGATAGCATGGGACCTGGAGTCTTCGCATCTTCCGACATCATGGTCTCGATCATGTAGTTCAGCACGTCCCTCATGTACGTTGTCGCCTCTGTCTCTTTACACGCTCTATCGTATGTCTTGCGGTGCTGCATGTACTCCAGCACACACCAATCGGCCTTCTGGCGCCTGTTCATCGCCATGAAGGCAGCATCGCCGATCGACTGCCTAATCGCTGGTAAAATATTCTGCCCGAATATGCCAACTATGTCTGGGCACGTGGTGCTGTATCTCGTCCTGAGGGTATCCTGGATGACGAACTTCAAATCTGGTGTAACGGGGTCCAAGGCCTGCAGTAGCAGGTCTGGCAGCAGCTTCAGCTGCGACCGCACGTAGAGGCGCGGGTCAGCAAGCCCAGCTTCGTCGATCCAATCATCCAGAAAACAATTATGAAAGGTGCATGCCCAATCGAGTATGCGCGTGATGGGGTGGTAGTCGATGCACTTTATGTAGTCGGTGCTCTCGATAAACTTCTTAGACCCGAAGGAGCGCAGCCAGCGACTGGCGCTCAGAGGCAGAATGCACTTGTCACCTTCATGAAAGGGATTGTACAGCTCTGCCGATCCAGGCACCATTATAACCAGCTTCTGATTAACGTACTCCGCCAGCCCCCGACGAGAGGCGCCAAATAATGCGATTGGTTGTGCTTCAAGTGGCATGCGGACCTTGCCGAACGAGTGACAGGCGAACCCTCCCCCTCACCGGCAGTGCCCATTGACGAAAAATGCCTCGCACAGGAGCCGCATGAGGGAAAACCCACAAGATCCGAACATTCGAGCAAGCGCCATGTCCGATGTCAGCGACCACGTGAGGCTCGTCTAGGGCCATATTGGATGACTCTTGCGGTCATCTCGGAGCATCCCGGGCAGAAAACCTGGAGGCCGAATGCATTGAGAAACATGTGGCTTCGTCCTGGTTCTGAATTTCTGACGTCTGCTGGAGTCGGCGGCGAGCGAGGGGGGAAGTAAGAAAGACAAGGTCTTCTCAGAAGGTTCGGAAGTCCCCCGGCCCTCTGAAAAGCTGTCTGAGCCGTCCTCAGAGACAGGAACAGCGTCTCAAAAGGTACAAATTAGGGCTTCTGAGAACTCCCGCCGCCTCCTGAGAGGGTCTTCTCCTCCTCACCTCCCCCCCTCGCTCGCCGCCGATGGAGGGAGACTCCTCGGGGTCAGACGGGGCTTCCTGGAGCCGTCCCGGCGCACCATCTTCGGCCCCCTCGGCGGTCCACTGGGGCTCTCTTGCAGCCCTGTTGAGGCCGCTGTGGGGCCCCGTCCTGGGCCTCCCCGCACCTCGCTCGCACACGAGCGGTTGGCGGAGCGCGCACACATGAAGGGGCCCTGGGACACACAAAGAAATATACACAAATAACAGGATTCTCCATCTTTTCTCAATATGTTCCTGGGCGACCACTTGTGTCGACTCAGTATGTCCATCTTTTCTCAGTATTCTCCATATTTTCTCAATATGTTCTCAGTTGGGGATCGACGACTGCTTGGGTCTGTGTGTTCTTTCCCCTCCTGAACATAGAAGGGGCAGCGTGCCGCTCCGCGCGGCGCGGGCAGAGGGCGGCTCGGGGCAAGCTCGGGGCTCGGACGCGCGGGGGCCGGGACGTGGAGGGCGTGCCGCGCCAGAAGCGTGGCTTGAGCAGGGGCCGACCGTCCCGGCATTCCTGCAGTCCTATCACGACGTGTTCTTAGAACCCAAACGTGTTCTAAGAACAAAAGCAATGCTCTTAGAACATAAGCCCGATGTGATAAAACAAAACAGGCTCCGCCAGAAATGGTCTAAGAACATTTCGTGGGAACCACCAGAGGTTCTTAGAACATTGATTGGTAGGGCTATAGGCGAGCCGGGACGCTTCGCCACTGCTTGATTGGCGGCGCAGCGGGGGGGTAGAGGCCTCGGAACAAGAATAGCGAACACTCATGTCACATTCATCTGTGAACGCCTCCCCCTCCACCCAATGTTCAGAGTTGGCGGTGGGTCTGATGAGTTGCACCTCGACCGCAGTCTCCCCCGCGCGTGCCAACTCTAAGTTTGGGGGGTAGGGGGGGTGTTCACTAATTGTTTCCCTCTACCGTAGGGGGACGGGGGAAGGCTTCTCGGAAGGAGGCTGCGTCTCACAGGGCGCTGGGCCTACACTACTAGAGGAGGCCCGCGCCTTCTAAGAAGCAGGGGTGCTTCCGAGAAGGCTTCCCCCCTCCCCCTGCTCCCCTCTGCGCGTGGCCGTTTCGACGTCGCCGGCTCTTACACAGCATTCGTGCACAAGCGCGTTCCACCACTCGCACGGTCACGGTAGCTACTCGCAAATGGCCTTGATCAATGGCGTCGAGGCAAGCAAAGTTCATTGCATCGAACATCATATGCTTGCTGGACCTTCGCGACTGGGCACTTCGAGAGTAGTGGAACGCGCTTGGTAAATCAGCCCTTCGGAGGTCCGCGCGGACTTCCGGACATTCCTTGTGTCCTTGTTCCGGGCTTGCTTCTCTGGGGTTCCAGGCCCCCAGCGGAGTTCGGCCTTGAACGCTGGCGCTGGGATCGCCGCCGCGTCAACGCGGCGCGCGCGAGTTTACCGCAGCAGCATTGTACTTCCATTCCCGTCTCCACCTGGCCAGGGTTTCCTCGGCGCGACCAGCCTAACCCCTCGAGGTGGGGACAGATGCCGCGCAACCCGGCGGAGAGGGCACAGGAATCCCCACACGGAGGGGGTATGTCGGATCCTGCAGGTCGGGAAGGGGGGCCAAGGCTTGCACGGCGCGCTCTGACCAGGATTGCGAACTGAACCCGCTCGTGGCGGCGACGAAGTAGTACAGTGGCATCGGGACCTCTTGCTCCTCGGATGGCCGCACGACCCCCGGGGCCAGGGCCCGCCGTGCACGCGGCGGAGCTTCTGGCGGCAGCGCCGGGGGACGGCGGGAGAGTCCTCGAGGCTGGGCGGGCGCCGCCGAGATCCGCCCCGACTTCGGCACGAACGAAACTGGGGTTGGAGGAGCAAAAGGTCGGCGGTGGACAAACTTCCCTTTCGCACACCTCCATCTAGCGAACAAAAACGGCCTATAGGACCGACACCGACGGACCTGGACCCGCAAGAAGGACGGCCGCGACGCCCTCCCGCGGACCGAAAAAGGCCAATTCGCTAATCGACGTGTCCGGGTAGGAGGCCCATCAACCTCCGAAAGGGCCCTGGCGTGCGCTCGCCGCTCCGAAAGGGCCCCGGCGCCGTCCACAGAAAGGGCGGCGGCTCGGGGCGGAGAGCTGGCCGGTCCCTGGGGGGAGGCTCCGGGGCCCGGGGCCCGCGTCCCGAGGTACCCTCTTTTCCCTGGGGGCGACGATCGCGGGGCTTCAGGGGGCCACATGCGCACCCTACGAGGAGAAGGAGGAGGAGGAGGAGGAGGAGGAAAGAGATGGAATGGGGTGGAGGAGGAGGAGGAGGAGGAGGAGGAGGAGGAGGAGAGGAGGAGGAGGAGGAGGAGGAGGGAGGAGGAGGAGGAGGAGGAGGGGGAGGGGGGGGGTTACTCCGCTCGGGAGCTCCCGAGCGGAGTGACCCCCCCCCTCCCCCTCAGACATCGTGGGGGGGAGGGGTAGGGTGCGCATGTGGTCCCCTAGGGATGGCGGGATCAGCCAGGCCGGGAAACTGGGTCGGGCCCGAGCGAGCGTCGGCGCAAGCCACAACAGCATCGAGGCGGCATCGAAAACTGGACCAGCCGCGGCAGGAGGCACGGGCATCGCCCTGCAGGCGTTGGGCCGCAGCTGATCGCCGGAACAGCGGACAATCGAGTCGGCTCAAGCTGGCAGGAATCGATCGTCACATCGGATCGACCGGCTCGAAACGGGCCCTCTGGTGGATGCTGCCACACACGGGGGTCCCGGCCCACGCCCCTCCCCTTCGAGGATCCTCAGAACGTGCGGCAGCGCCAGCGTGTGCTTGTCCGCAGGCGCCCTGCAATACGACGCGGGCGGTGCAGTGAGGGCCAGCACAGAATGCGTGCCGTCCGTGGACTGGGCGAGGCAAACCACACACACACACACACACGCACACACACTGGGCTACAATCAACACGGATGAGCGGCTTTCCAAGGCTACCTTTGCATCCTTCCCATTCGGCCCATCCTCGGCCACTTGCGCTGGCCGCGCCCCGCTCGAAAGGTGTCGGCGTGGCCTTTCAATGCCCCTGCATCCTTACCGCGCATCCGTATTATGCGGCTCGTCTGCAACACGCGCCCTTACGATCATCGACCCATGCACGTGCCCACTGGGGCGGCAGCACAGGCCCGCAGCCGGTCGGATCCACAAGGCCACCGGCGGGAATCTGGAGCGGCACCCCGGCGCTGCCGTCCTCCGCCGCGATCCTCTCGTTCTTCGCCGCGATCATGTCCTGGATCGCCCTGGCCTCCGCGCGCAGAGAGCTCAGATAGTCGGCCTTGATGCGCTTCTTCATGGCCTCTCTCCGCCGCTCCGCCTGCCAGAGGCGTCCGAGGCAGCAGCTTTGCCCGGGCGGTTCGCCCGGTACCCCTCCGCCTTCTCCTGCCCGTCCTCCTCATCCCCACTGTGCCCCCTGCCTGCCCCATGAGAAGGCTGGGGCTGCGGCAGAATCTAATCGCAGGGGATTTCGCTAGTTGCACGCGCAGCTCCTTCGTAGGTGTTGACGGTGACCCCCTCATGCGGATGACCATGACCATGTGCACGATCAGGTGTGCGCGGGTGTATAAAAGCGTGCAGCTTGACTCCGGAATCAGCTCGAATCGTGCGCAGGGTAGCTTCGTCAGCCCGCCATGGATCGCAGGCCCTCCAAACCACGATCTGCCCGCACCTCTTTCCTGGGCCTCCTCGGACACCACTGGGGGCGTCCCAACGCACGCAGGAGCCTCCGAGGGGCCTCACGCGGGCCCTCATGGGCCCAAAGCTTCATCGCGGATACTCCAAAGCCGCCAGCGTGCATGAGCGGGGACATCAGGGCGGGAACGGCGCATGGGGGGAGCATCGACCTGGAAGCAGCGATACCTCGCCGATAGACGCTCGCTGGCGACTGCGCACGCTCCTGGGCGGGGTGGGCTGCCAGGCCCCCACATCGGCGACCACTGGGCGACTGGGGGTCGATGCATCCCCCCCGGAGCCCATCCCCGCCAAAAGTTACCCCGGAGTGCACTGTTCTCTAGCCCCCTTTTGCACGGCAGACCTGGCTGCGCGGCCCAGACGCCTCGCCAAAGGAGGCCCCGATCCGCGAGAAAAAGCCTCCTGGGGCCTGCCCGAGGGGCACGTCGGAGCCATGCGGAAGAGCCTCCGAGGCTGCCTGGGGCCGTGCTGGGCCCTCCTGTCCCACAAGACTCGTCAAACAGTTTTTGTTTTCGGCGCTTGCGCGGTCGGCGCTACTTCAATGCTGGCATGAAGTGTTTGGCCCACGCGCGGGGATGTCCGAAATCCGGCAGTGCCCTCAGAGCATTGAAGAACAAGATTTCTGACAAGTGCTCGAACCATCGTGCGCTTCGATTTTGAACGGCGTGTCAACGTATGTTTGACGAGGGCCGTGCTGGGCCCTCCTGTCCTAGGGTTCCTCCTCCTCCTCCTCCTCCTCCTCCTCCTCCTCCTCCTCCTCCTCCTCCTCTTCCTCCTCTTTCTCCTCCCCCTCCTCCTCCTCCTCTTCCTCCTCCTCCTCCTCCGAGAACCCTCCCCTCCTCCTTCCTCCTCCTCTCTCTCTCCCCCTCCCCCTCCCTCCGTCATCCTCCTCCTCCTCCTCCTCCTCCTCCTCCTCCTCCTCCTCCTCCTCCTCCTCCTCGTCGTTCCTCCTCATCATCATCCTCATCCTCTTCCTCTCCTCCAACCTGGAAGAAAAAGGACGGGAAAGGGACGGGGGAGCGCGCGAAGGCGCGGGCGCACGCGGAGAGGAGCGGGCGGGAGAGCGGGGGCGGGGCGAGCCCACCGACCGAGCCGAGCCTGCGGCGAATCGGGGTCCGACGACGGGGCGGCCGAGCCGAGAGGAAGCATCACGGGCCTGAGCACAAAGACGCTTTCGGAGAGTCGCGCGGACCTCATGGATCGGCGCCCGAACCCCTCCCTAGCGCGCGGGGCGCGCCAGGGGCGGCGCCGGGGGCGCCGCCGGGGGCGCCGCCAGGGAGTCCAGCGCCGAGCCAAGAAATCCGCGCGGACGTCCAGAGGCTTTTGGCTCATGTGCTCATTAGGGGGCCACATGCGAACCCTACCCCACCCTCCCCCTCAGAAATCGTGGGGGGTAGGGGTAGGGCTCGCATGTGGCCCCCTAACTCAGTCCGTTCCTCCCTCGAGAGGCGCCCCCACAACTGCTCGAAATGGGAAGGGGGGCAGGAGCCCAGGACCAGGCGGGCCCGCCCACAAAGTTCCGATGATCCCGCAAGTTCTGTTCCTTCCTCGAGAGCCGGGCGCCGGAGCCCGTGGTCGGGGAGGAGGAGGAGGAGCAGGAGCAGGAGTAAGAGGAGGAGGAGGAGGAAGAGGAGGAGGAGGAGGAGGAGCAGGAGCAGGAGCAGGAGGAGGAGGAGGAGGAAGAGGAGAGGATAGTAGGAGGATGAGGAGGAGGAGGAGGAGCAGGAGGAGGAGGAGGGAGGAGGAGGCAGGAGGAGGAGGATGAGGAGGAGGAAAAGGAGAGGAGGAGGAGGAGGAGGAGGAGGAGTATGAGGAGTAGGAGGAGGAGGAGTAGGAGGAGGAGCAGGAGGAGGAGGAGGAGGAGGGGCCTCCTCCTTCTGCTGCTGCTGCATCTCGGCCACCTCCTGGCGCTCGCGCTCCTCCAGCTCCGCCTCCTCCCGCTGCAGGCGGTCGGAGGCGCACTCCGGGCGGCACGCCGGGGGGTCTGCCTGGGGCGGGGCAGCCATCCCAGGCCCTCCTCGCGTCGTGCAACAAAAGTCGCGGCGCAGGGTGTTTGGCGCTTTTCGGCCTCTTGGGGCCCCTCTGGGCCGTCAAGAACGCTCGGGTGGGCAAAGCCAGTCCCGAGGGAGGGGTCTAAACATCCGGGGGCCCATGCTGCGAAAGCGTCGCGACGTCGGGGGTCTGGGTGTGCAGGAGCAGGGAACATCGGCATCACGACCACCACCATCGCGGGAAGCCAGAGAGGTCCTCGTCGTGGCGTGGTCCACCCAATGTGCGGCGCCCCGCTCGGGGCATCTCCAGTCTCCAGCTCAGGAAGGCATCTTGTCCTGCATCCTCGGGGGACCGTGCCTGTCCCATCGCGCCGCTGTCCACGTCGAATCGGCGTCGAATCCATCCCGAGCGCGTCGACTCCGCGTCGAATCCACGCCGAGTCCGTGTCGAATCCACATGGAATCCGTGTTGGAACCACGCCAAGAACAGTCCCATGGCTCCCATGTCTGGGCAACGTGATACAAGGAACGGAAGGAGGAAGAGGAGGAGGAGGAGGAGGAGGAGGAGGAGGAGTAGGAGGAGGAGGAGGAGGAGGAGGGGCCTCCAAGAACAGTCCCATGGCTCCCGTGTCTGGGCAGCGTGATGCAAGGAACGGGCGGACGGCCGCACGAGACCAACCCGGGAAAGGCTGGCCCGACTGGCCTACTGACGGCCTGCGCGGGGATGCGCGGCCCCTACTTTTCAGAAGGCGGAGGAGGAGGAGGAAGAGGAGGAGGAGGAGGAGGAGGAGGAGGACGAGGAGCTGCAGGAAGAGGAGGGAAGGAGGAGGAGGAGGAGGGAGGAGGAGGGTTAGGAGGAGGAGGAGGAGGAGTAGAGGGGAGAAGGAGTTAGGGGGAGGAAGGAGAGAGTGAGGAGGAGGATGAGGACGAGGAGGAGTTGGGGGAGAAGGAGGTGGAGGAGGACAGGTTCGAGGAGGAGGAAGAGGAGGAGGAGGAGGAGGAGTTTGGATGACGAGGAGGAGAAGGAGGAGGAGGAGGAGGATTTAGTACTCCGCGGGCCGAACTCCACCCCGTCTGGCATGAAAACCACCCTAGTGCAGCACAGAGCATGCGAAGGAGGGAAGGAGGCCATGATGAACTGGTTTGGCTGGCGAATGGCAGGGTCTGCGATAGTCCCCACCGTGGTGTCACTACTTGCTTGCGAAGGCGGAGGTGGTACGTTTCGGACCCCTCCCTACAGCGGAGACCCATGCCAAGAAGCACCCTGCTCGCGTCCAGGGTGCCCTGGGCTTCTTGCGCTGCGGTTGTTGTGCCATGGAAAGCGTGGCCTGCCCACGCCAAAAGTCAATGGGCGTCCTGGGGTCTCAGGGTTGGACTTCTTCTGGACGGTTTCTTGTGGTCGGGCCCCTGCTGTACGGCCGCCTTCGATGGCCGAGGAGCCCCCTGGAGGCCTTCCCGCGCACCCCCCGCGCCCGCGGCGATGCGCGAGGCGGGGCGCCCGGCCTCTCTGCGGGGGGCCAAGGCGAGCGCGCGACTCCCGGGGGGGGGGGGGGGACGCCCTCCTCTCCGGGCCGGGCGACGGAGGGGGCGAAGAGCCGGGGCCGCTCGGCTTAGGATGCCCGGCCGCGCCACGAGGATCTCGCGGGAACGGCTGCCTCCTGCAGGCCGCCCGGGGAAGTCTCGGGGCCACCTTGGACAGCCCCTGGCCCGCCGACCGAACTTCGGCCGCCCGCGGGTTGGGTCTCTCGGCCGGCTGGAGGGGAGGAGGGGAGGGAGGACAAAGACAAACGCACCGAACAGACGTTGACCAGGAGGAGGGGCCACCTCGCGCAATGCAAGCCTCTGGCAAGCCCCGACGGGTCTTCGATGGCCGTCCCTGCAGGTCCTCGGCCCCCTCCCGTGCCTGCCGTGCGTGGTGTGCTGGCGTATACGGTGAGATGATGGGAGGGGGCGGGCCCCCGGCAGCCTCTGTGATGGCAGCTGCGATGGCCCTCGTCCTCACTGGGGAGGCCTGCGATGGTCCTCGCCAGGGGGGGGAGAGAGAGAGAGAGAGAGAGACAGAGAAAGAAAGAGAGAGAGAGAGAGAGAGCGAGAGAGAGCAGGGATGTCGTTGGCGTCGAAGGTCATCCCAATGAACTTGGATCCTGAAGCGGGAAATCCTGTCCGGAGGAAGCTTGAAAAGGATGGACCTGCAAGGCGGGATGGGCCGCAACGGATGGGTACGTCTACCAGTTCGCATAAGTCCAGGGTGAGAGGTTCGTCACGGGGTCAAAATCGATACAGCTTTGCTTCAGAAAGAGAAACAACACAACAACACACAGCTGCCACCGCCCCGGGAGGCGGCGCCGTCACGGCGGGCAGGCGTGCAAGGCACGCTGGCCCTCGAACGAGGACCTGTCGTTCACAGCGTGGGAGAAAAACAGTGCAATGAGAACCTGGTGAAACAAGGGCACGCAATGTCTAACGCCAAGAGAAAGTAATCAAACCCTGTCCGAGAGAGAAAGAAAGAAATCAAGAAAGAAAGAGCGAAAGAGAGAGAGAGAGAGAGAGAAAAGAGAGAGAGAGAGAGAAAGGAAGAGAGAGGGAGAAGAAGAAGGAAGAGAGAAAGGGAAAACAAGAGAGAGCGAGAGAGAGAGAGAACAACTAAAGAGGGAGAGAGAGAGAGAGAGAGAGAGAGAGAGACCAGGACACATCGGCACGCCACGGAGAGGGTAATCGCCACAGACTCGAAAGATTCGAGATACAGAGATTTCGTATCAACAAGCTGCTGGCGGCGAGGCCACAGCCCGGGGGACGAACACGGCACCGCCAGAAGCCCGCGGCGAAGCCACAGCACCAAGGACGATCATGGCACCCCGGCAGCGTGCTGCGGCAGGCATGCACCAGTGGGAGGGTGCATCGGCAGGAAGGCACCACTGGAGCTCCTGCAAGGAACGGACGCACCCGCCAGCTCAGCCACCGGCACGCGTGCGCGGGCACCCATAGGGTCCGCGGGAAAGGCCCCCGAACCCGTACCACCACCAAGGCACATAGAGAACCCTCCGGAGGAGGAGGAGCCAGGGGCGGCCAAGAGGGGGGGCGTCCAAGAGGGGGGGCGCAAATCATGGCCGGCGGCATGTGCGCGGCCCGGGGGGCGGGGACGTGATGAAGTAAGAGGCGGCGCCATGAAATCTGGGGAGAGATCATGGCCCCCGCCAGGATATCCACCCCTCCCTGGTCCTCACCCCCCCCTTGGCCGCCCCCGAAGGAGGCGGAGGACGACGAGGCGGACGACGACGAGCAGGGAGGAGGCCCACAGGTGCCTGGCTCCCGGGGTTGTACCTCATGCGCGGGTGGTCGCTGAGCCCCTCACCGCAGCCTCGGGCCGCTCGCGGGGGGCCGCGGCCACCGACCGACCGACCCTGAGATCCGACGCCGCGAGAGAAAAACCAGAGTGCAAACCGCGACCGGAACCCTGGAACCCATCTTCCTGCAGTCGATTCTCGAGCCGGATCGACCAGAAAGGGTCCCGAGTTCCGCGGGTGCCCGCATCCGAGCGAAAATCGGGATACGGTCTTTGCACACCACCCCCACGAGCAAGTCTGGCACAGGGCCGTGAAGCGGGAATGATGAACAAAAACGAGGTGCCCTGGGGGGCACGATCTTTGTACAACACCCCCTCGACCATTACAAGCTGGTCCGACACATGGCACGCTGTGGTTTTCAATCGGCCCGCGACCAATCGCCTGGTGCACGAAACGGACACCAGCAACGCACCCAAATCGCAACAGATGTGAAAAGGCGGATCGAGGAGTAAGTCGGCTTGTGAAAACGTGTATTCCTACGTAGTGCTAGAGGTTCTTAAGAAACGCAAAGCAATGTGCACAGTACTGTGTTTTGTTGAAAGGGGTCGTGGCCGTCGGGAACAACGATGTGGCTGGCAGTGAGGCAAGAATACGGTTACTGAATTCGCCGGCCCAACGGGCCAGAGGCGTGCTATTTCTACTTCGCGCACGTGGAGCGGCCCCTGGGGGTCCCCGGGCGAGAAGTACCCTGGGCGGTCTCCGGCCGGGGAACTGCGACGCCAGGGTGCTTCTAAGAAGCCTCCCCCCCTCCCCTATACCTCCCTCTGAGCGTGGCTGATTTTTCGCGTCTACCAGAAGTCTCTGGCGAAACTGTACTAGGGAACTGCGACGCCAGGGTGCTTCTAAGAACCCCCCCCCCTCCCCTATACCTCCCTCTGAGCGTGGCTGATTTTTCGCGTCTGCCAGAAGTCTCTGGCGACACTGTACCAGGGAACTGCGACGCCAGGGTCTCAGGAGCCCGCCCCCCCCCCCTCCGATGCTCCCGTGGCGCGGCGCCCGCTCGCCCGCCGCGGCCGGGCCGGGCGCCCACCGCCGACCGCCGACTGTTTCTTCTCTCTCCTCCTCCTCCTCCTCCTCCTCCTCCTCCTCTTCCCTCATCCTCATCCTCATCTCCCTTCCTCGCCTCCTCCTCCTCCTCCTCCTCCTCTTCCTACTCCTCCTCCTCCCTCCTCCTCCCTCTTCCTCCTCCTCCTTTTTCCTCCCTCCTCCTCCCCCTCCTCCTCCTCCTCCTCCTCCTCCTCCCTCCTCCTCCTCGTCCTGCTCCTCCTCCCTCCTCCTCCCCTCCTCCTCCTCCTCCTCCTCCTCCTCCTCTTCCTCATCCTCATCCTCATCTTCCTCTTCCTCCTCCTCCTCCTCCTCTTCCTCCTCCTCCTCCTCTTCTTCTTCTCCTCCTTCTCCTCCTCCTCCTCCCTCCTCCTCCTCCCTCCTCCTGCTCCTCCTCGTCCTCCTCCTCCTCCTCCTCCTCCTCTCCTCCTCCTCCTCCTCCTCCTCCTCCTCCTCCTCTCTCCTCCTCCTCCTCCCCTTCTCGTCCTCCACCCTTCTCCTCCTCCTTTTCCTCCCTCCTCCTCCTCCTCCTCCTCCTCCTCCTGCTCCTCCTCGTCCTGCTCCTCCTCCCTCCTCCGCCTCCTCCTCCTCCTCTCTCCTCCTCCTCCTCCCCTCCTCCTCCTCCTCCTCCTGCTCCTCCTCGTCCTGCTCCTCCTCCCTCCTCCTCCTCCTCCTCCTCCTCCTCCTCCTCCTCCTCCTCCTCTTCCTCCTCTCCCTCCTCCTCCTCCTCCTCCTCCTCCTCCTCCTCCTCGTCCTCCTCCTCCTCCTCCTCCTCCTCCTCCTCCTCCTCCTCCTCCTCCTCCTCCTCCTCCTCCCCCTCCTCCGCCGCCCCATTCCGATTACATTCCAGAACCCGTGGGGTGGCTGTTGTGCAAAATGCATGCGGCGCCGGCAAAAGTTCGTGCACGGCGCTCACCTAAAGAGCACCTGCACAATCACCCGAGGGTTTAGGAAGCCCGGGCGACACCAGCACAAGAGGTACTTACTTCAAAGACAGCCTGGCGGCAAGACTGGAGGTCCTGCATACTTCGAGGTTTAGTGCCGGCCACATTTCTTTGTGTAAAGTCTCCACCTCCGAAGTTTTCACCTCGAGGTCGTTCATTTAATTAAAGGTCGTTCACCTCATGATCTCCTCCTCGGGGCCTTCACGTCGAGGTCCTCACCTCGATGTATCCACCCGCCGCAAAGTCTTCACATCGAGGTATCCACCTCGACGACCAGCTCGATGATTCACCTCGAAGTCTCCACCTCGAGTCCTTCACCTCGAGGTCTTCACATCGAGGTCACCTCAAGGACCTCGAGGTCTTCGCCACGATGCCTTGACACATTCCCCGCTTACCACCGTCGCGAGGCAATCGCTTCAATATCACAGTCCGGCGGCAAGTCTGGCGCTCCTGCACACTGTTACGGCATTCCGATTTTCACAGTTCGTCTCCTTTTCGACGCCGCCTGGCGGCAGCCCCGGCTCTCGTGCATCCGCAGTTTCTGCACGCTTACCCCCGTCACGAGGTAGTTGCATCAAGGACACAGCCAGGCGGCAAGGCGAGCGGCCCCGCAAACTCGCACGCCCGTCTGGTAACAAGGGTTCGTCGCCTGTTGGACGCTGCTTGGCGGCAACACCGGCTTTTGTATGCTTTTGTGCTTCCAGAACTTCTGCATGTCTAACCCGAACCCCCGTCGCGAAGCAGTTGCCTCGACGAAGCAACCAGGCGGCAACGCCGACGGTCCTGCGCACTCTCACGTCTCTGCGGTCACCACGGGTTGTCTCTTATTGGACACAGGCTGTCGGCAACCAAAGCTTTCGTGCATCCACAGGTTCTGCACGCTTACCCCCGTCGCGAAGTAGTTGCCTCGAGGACACTGCCAAGCGGCAAGGCCGGCAGTCCTTTACACTTGCACGACAGTCCGGTCAGCACGGCTCCTCTCTTTTTGGGCGGCGGCTGGCGGCAATGCAAGCTTTCGTGCGTCCACAGATTCTGCACGCTTGCCCCCGTCGCGAGGTAGCTGCCTCAAGGACACAGTCTGGCGGCATGACCAGCGGTCCTGCATACTCTCACCTCTGGTGGGTGACCACGGTTCGCTTCCTCTTGGAAGATGGCTCTGCGAGGAATGCAAAGTACGGAGCATGGGACGCGGAGGTGTATTGTACCATCGGTGACGCATCCTGAGTTCACCTTCGTCCTCGCCTTTGCAACCCAACAGTCTTCCCCCATTGGAATCCGACGGTCAAAAACAGACCAGCAGTCAGGTTTTTAGCCCGTGAGCCCGCACTCGTCTCCTAAGCGGCCACACTCGCCCTTCTCATGCGTGGGGGTAAGAGTTGAATAAGAATTCTCAGCACAGCTGCTGCCGCACCCGGCAAGCGCACAAACCCTCCAACTCCTTCAACAAGGACACCGTTCGTCGGCAATGCGGGCTGTCCTTTTTTATATTCGACACGTCGGAGGTACTCACCTTCAGGACACAGCCTGGTGGCAGAGCTGGCGATCATGCGCACCACCACCACCTGCGAGGCATGTACCTCCAGGACTCAGTCTGGCGGTAATGCCGTCGGCTTTCTCGTTGAAGTCCGCACGCACCTATGGGACACAGCCTGGCGGCAATGCTGGCGGTCCTGCGCACCTACCCGACCTACGAGGGATGCGATCGAGGCCCTTTCAACTGCCTTTCCCCCGCTCCGCTTCATTCTCGTTCCCCCTCCCCCTCCTCCTTCACCATTGTCACCCCTTGCATTTGAACCTCCGCAGTCCTCGATCCCCGATCAAAATCTGGCTGTCAAAAACTTCCTGGCGGTCAGATTTTGAAGTTGGGCGGCCCTCCTGGCACATGGGGCAAGAATTGAGGAAGAAATCTCGGCACAACTGCAGACGCATCAGGCGGGTGCAAGGGCTCTCGAACTCCTCCGCTCAAGACACACACAGCTCGGCGGCAATGCCGTCTGTCCTCTTTACATTCGACACGTCGGAAGTACCGACCTCCAGGACACAGCCCGGCGGCAATGCCAGCGATCCTGCGAACCCACCTGCGAGGTATACTCCTCCAGAACACAGCTTGGCGGCATTGCTGGTGGTTTTTCTTTACGTTCGGACGTTCCGACCTCCAGGACACAGCCAGGCAGCAATGCCGGCCACTCACGTACGGGGCATTAGACCGAGCTTTTCCCAAGCGCCTTCACAAGTTCAATCGCATCTGGCGGGTGCAGAAACCCTCGAACTCCTCCGTTGAAGACACAGCTCGGCGGCTATGCTGGCGGTCCTTCTGTGCATTCGACACGTCGGAGGTACAGACACTCGCAGGACGCACCTCGGCGGCACTGCCAGCGGCCCAGGCGGTCGGCTCCTTAGCATTTTCTTAGGGTGGAGGACTCAGGGTGAAATCCATATGGGCTTTTGCGCCTCGAAAACCAATCCGTCTTGTGATTCACCTTTTGCAGACTCAAACCTCGAACATCCATCGAAACGGCATTTCAGCTTTCACCCTTTGCCCTCCACCCACAAGAGAATGCTCGGGGCCCCGGGGCTCTTCTGTGTAGCAGGTCTCCCAGTCACCCCCTGCCAGCCTGCAGGTGGCGACCCTGGCGGCACAATGGCGAGGGTCCCCCCCCGCGTGCCTCTTTCAAGGGGGGCGGCCCCTCCTGCCTGACAAAGCCGGCCGCCCGTGTGCACCCGTAGGGTGGTGGTCCGCCCTGCTGCCCCCATGTCACCCCTGGGGTGGGATCTCAGCCTGGTGGACGTCTTTTTTACTCGGCGTCTCGACACTGAGCGGAAATGGGGGAGGGGGGGGTGCCTGGCTCTGGACCTCTGCCCAGTGCGACTGTTTGTACGAGTGCGGCCTCTGGGGGAGACACCACCGGCTCGAAACAGGCGCCAAAAAACTGCCAAGATCTACTCCAGGGGTGGGGGGGGGGTGTGGGGGCCCGCGCCGATCGGCAAAACAATGACTAAAAATCGATCACCTGAGCAGGTTACCTATGCTGCCTCGTTGTGAAGCGGGTCCCCACCCCTCACCACCAGGATGGCGACCCTTCCTGCGGTGGAGGAGGTGGCGAGACACGCACCGTGACTCAACACCTGTAAGGTCGGCGGCGATACGGACTACCGTAGAGCCCCACCCGTCAAACCTTGCGTAGGTCGTAGGTGTCGGAAAGAAACGGTTGTTTCGGCAACACCAGGTGCCAACAACGGTCCCTGTTCAAACTCTGGGACGAGAAGGTTGGTCATTCTGACTTTCACCGGCACCGTTCAAGGACGGGAGAGCCCATGTGCCCAACCCGACTCGACAGGGCTACGTCTACCCTCAAGGGCACCCTCCTCCTCCTCCTCCTCCTCCTCCTCCTCCTCCTCCTCCGCTTCCTCCCCCTCGTCCCCCAACATCTCCTCCTCCTCCTCCTCCTCCTCCTCCTTCTCCTCTTCATGTTCCTCGACCTCCACCTCCTCCTCCTCATCCTCCTCCCTCTCGTCCTCCTCCCCTTTTTATTTCGCCAACTCATCCTGCTCCTTTTCCTTTGCCTCCTCCTCCTCCTCCTCCTCCTCCACCTCCTGCTCTGCGCCGCCCCAGGCCAAGGCAGAGCGGTCGCAAGGCAGAGCGGTCGGTGGTGCACATTGACGTTCTCTTGGCGGACCTGGCGTTTCTCACTCCTCCTCCTCCTCCTCCTCCTCATCATCATCATCATCCTCCTCCTCTTACCTATCCTCCTCCTCCTCCTCCTCCTCCTCCTCCTCCTCCTCTTCCTCCTCCTCTTCCTCCTCCTCCTCCTCCTCCTCCTCCTCCTCCTCCTCCTCTTCTCAGCCGAGGAGCATACTGACCAGGAGCGCGATGAGTTCAATAAGTGCTCCGACAGCTGCGCCGCCGAGGCCTCTGGGACCACCTGCAAGGCCTGTGGGACCACCTCGCAAGCCGTCGCCACTGGCAATGGGACCACCTGCAGGCCCATGAGCGTCCAAGGGGCTTGCCGGTTCCAGCGAAGACATCAAAGGCAAAAACTATGACCTGACATGGCTATGCAAAAAAGCCGCGGAAGAGAGAACGGGCGGGGAGGAGCGGAGGGAGACGAGGAAAGAGGGGGGGAAGCCAGAGGCCTTCAGATCGTCCCTGGTTCTTGCCTGGAGCAGCGCCACCGGCACGTAGCAAGAGGCGCCGCACGCACCACACAGCTTCTTACACGCGCACACACACACATATACAAACTGTTCCTTTCCTGACGTCGCGGCCCTGCGCGCGGCGACAGGGCGGAGAAGGTCGTGAAGCAGCGCACGCGCGTGCGCGACTAGGAACGCCCGAGCCCTCAGACACGTATGCAAGCACACTGTTTACGTCGGCGGATGGGCAGAGTGACTGCGCTGGCGGATAGGACACATGTAGGGCATACAATTGCGAATTAAGCGGCGATTCACGTGAGGAACCGGCGCGGGCGGGAGTATGCAAACACACACAGAGAAACGCACGCGCGCGAGCGCATGTCTTCCTCCGACGAGCCGCTGGGCCACTTGTTTTTCGCAGCGGCGAGGATCCACACCGCGTTCGAAAGCTGCGGAGGCCGCTCTGTCACACACGGCGGGTGGCAGATCTCGGCGGGTAGCGTACAGAGCACAGTAAACCCCAAAGACTGCCAGGCATAGCCGACCGCACACACACACACACACACACACACACACACACACACACACGCACACACACGCACACACAGACCCAAACAATCAAGCAAACAAACAAACAGCCAAATCCGACTTGCCAGTGGCTTGCAGCGAGCTGTGGAAAGTCTGGCGGGGGCACTGCCAGGACGATCGGTCCAACTTCGTGGACACGCGCGCTACCGCACGCATTATTTCCTCCAGCGGCGTAAGGGCAGGCGACTTTCCACCAGGCAGATGGGAGGACCGGGCAGAGGCAGTCGCTTGCAGAAAAAAACACGAAGCGTGCACGTGAAAGATGCCAGAACGGCCATGCAAATGCAGGAGCATGGCCGACACCACTCAAGCACACACACACACATACGCACACACACACACACGCACATTCACACAGACACACACACACAGACACACACACACACACGCAAGAACACAAACTTTTTAGCGATCGCGGCCCTACGCGCAGCGACGAGGCGGAGCAAGATGAACAAGCGGCACGGAACTAACGCGCGGGGCCATGCCCTCAGACGAGGGACCCCAGACCAACCGCCCGTAGGCCACCCAGGCGTGGGTGGCGAGTGAGAAACTTGCCACAACGTCCCAACACACGCACACACGCACACGCGCACGCACGCACACGCACAAGCAAGCACCAGAACGCACGCGCGTGCAGGCAGCGCCCAGGCCGAGCCCAGGCGGCGGCCACTAGGCACGCGGCGGGCGCACCGCACGAACCAGCGCTCGAGCAGGGAGATGTCTCTGCCGGCCGGCACGTACCACTTCTTCATCTCCGGGTGCCACCACGCCCCCCGCCGCTTCGCCTCATCCTCTGGCCGACGCGCACACAGGGACAGGGCAAGGAGCACGGCCTTTGCCTCAGGCGCCCCGCCTCTTTGAAGCCCTCCTGCCTTCCTAGGGAGCCTCTGCTCGGCATCCAAGACTCGGAGGGACAGGTACCTCCTAAGGAGGCCCTGGCCTTCCTAGAAGTTGAACAGAGGCGAAGCGTCCTGGATTGCCCACAGGCCCAGCACATAATGTTCTGAGAACCCTTTGAGGTTCGCGCGAAATGTTTTTGGAACATATCTGGCTGAGACTGTCTTGTTTTACCACAGCGGCCTTATGTTTCAGAACAGTGCTTGTGTTGTTCGAACATGTGTTATCTAAGAACATGCTGTGGTAGTCCTATAGGAATGCCGGGACGGTCGGTCCCTGCTCAAAGAAGGCTGCCCCCATCGCCCATTTTGCCCCTTGCGCGGCTCCGAGATCCTTCTCGGTGACCGGGCAGCGCAAGAAGAAGGGCTCGTCGACGCTCTGGAAGTGCTCGCGCCAGCACGGGCCGCAGCGGAAAGCACCTTGTGTGGGAGCCAAGACGAGACGCATCCGAAGGCCACCGGCCTTACGACCCCCAGAGGGCTCAGAAGAGAAACTGCGCGATTGAGAAGTATCGCCTGCTCCTCCTGATCCACAATCTCGCTGCCTGGAATGATGAAGAGAAGACAGATTATGCGTCGACTTCCGGTGACGCAACCCGTTTACCCAATCAGCAAGACTGCCTAACTCAGAAAGTTCTCGAACCAAGCTGCAACAAATGCTCGATCGACCTCTACAAATATCCGCAAGCGTCTGGCAGGGTTGTGGTGGCCGCCTCGGGGCGACCCTCCTACTCGCGCGCTGTAAGATCACGCACCCACGCGCGTTGCCAGGTAGCTGGCAGCACGCACGGCTGGCCTCACGTTTGGAGCGCAGCTAGAGGCCACGCGCTGGATACGCCTGGAGGCCCAGCCTACTCGGCCACACCAGGGCCGCGCGCTGGAGAGACTTCTGGCCACCTTTGTACCCAGCTCTCGCCCCGGCCAGCCGCGCCATGTGCATCCAGCTCCCGGGTACCCTTTTCCGCCGCTCTCCGCGGCCTCAAGATTACCACCTCATGGGCGGACGGCTGCAGCGTGCCCCAACACGCGCCCATGACGCTTCGGGAACCTTCCCCCCCAGCGACTCTGAAGCTGCTCGCATCACAAGGGGCTCCGAGAGGCCTGGGGGAGCACGCCGAGGCGCCCAGCGAGCCCACTCGGCAAGACCCTGGGAGGCCAAACACACAACGAGGAACAACACTGTCCATGGCGTCCGCCGATGTTCGACCTCGGACGGCCCCACGAGGGCTTCGGCCTGGGCCCAAACGCGGCCCCAGAGAGCCCAAGAGGCCCCCCCCCCCCCAGGAAGCCGCAGACGGCCCGAAGAGATCCCCGAGACAGCCCAGGACCACCCACCCCCCTCCAGGACTGCCCCGAAGGAGCTCCAAGGCGGCCGGGGCATCCCACCAGACGGCCCCGCGGTGGCTCTGCCGCGCCTCTCCGCGGGAGCTCGGCCCAACCGTCGCGCCCGAAGGCCCCCAGCGGGCCCCCACGGTGCCACTCCAGGCGGCCCCCGCGCGGGGCCCCCGCAGGCGGCCACCGCCGTGCGCCCCGCACGTGCCCCCGACGGAGCGACACGACGGCCGAGCCGTGGGGGGGCCAGCGGCAACGGGGCGCCGGCCTCCCGTCGGGGGAGACGTAAGGCTCGGGTACACGGGGGGCTCGGGCTGGCCTGACGGGGGGTCAGCACGAGAATGACGCGGCCCAGCCTGAGATTTGACGCGAGAGCCCGCTGCAAGCAGCCTCCCACGAAGGCCGGACCGTCAGCATCCAGGACGCGCTCGGCAGAGAAAACGTCGGCAAGCCCGAGTTCCGGCGAACTCGAGTCCCACGTTTCCCCGATTCCAGATGATAAAGAGGCGATGCGCCGTCCCTCTCGCGCACGGACGCGTAACACCCCACGCGGGGCGGGAGGAAAAGAACCGACGGGGGCAAGGGGACGGAGGGTGGCAAGGGCCATGTTGCTCCCATCGTACTTAAAGACCACATCCCAGAAATAATTTCAAGCACCCGGAAAAGTGTCGAAACAGTGTCGAAACGGTGTCGAACGAGTGTCCCAGGGCCCGACACGTGAAAACCCTCGAGTTTCGGTACTTTATAGGTGCTCGAAATTCTTCCTGGCGATCAAGGCTAAAAGTAGGATTGAACATCATACGGCAAGGGGAGGCTTCCTGTCCTGGACACCTGGGAACGGCAGGTTCTCCGAATCGCACTTCTCGCACGTCCGCGGGCCGTCCCCGGCAGCAGCGGCGCCAGCCGTTGGGCTTGACGCCGCCGTGGATGCGGTCGAAAGCCTCTCGGCGACTTTCGGAAGAGGTCAAAAAATCCACCCCAATAATAACCACCCCGACACGCGAAGTCGTCTAGTAAACGCGCTCAAAGGAGGAATCGAGCAGGGCAGGGCTGTTTAGTAAATGTCTAGGGCCGTTTTGTAAACGCCAATTGTCTGGTCCTGGTGGTTTTTCCTCCCTTGATTCAGGGAATGGGCACTGTAGAAAGGCTTCGGGCACAAACCACTCTCTGGAGTGGTCGCGAAACCGAGGGGAACGGAGCGGAGTCCGACTTCTCTCTGGAGAGGTCGCGACACGCGATGGGAGACAGAGAGAGAGAGAGAGAGCTCCATTCGAACCGAGAAGCGCGAATGACGGCCGAGGCACAAACCAGGAAATCAAGCTCTTGTAGAGTTGGCAGGTGGCGCTGCAATTCGTGCGCAGCGCGGCAAAAGGGGAACCATCGGCCAAAAGACAAATCACCTCTCAAAGTGGTCAAACGGATAATGCTTGCGAGCGCGGACCCCAAAGAGTGAACCATTGCACTCTGGACGCGTGATACGTGGTGGGATCTCTGCGGTGCAACCTGCGTGGTGCAACATGTGCTGCAAGCTGCGTTCTGCAATCGATGTGTGGTGCAAGACGTGCTGTCCGAGCTGTCTGGTGCAACCTAGTTCGGTGAAAGCTGGCTGGTGAGCGAGCTGCGTGCTGCGACACACGTGCTGTAGGCTAAGTGTGTGCGGCAAGCTACGTGCTGCAACCTGCAGCGGGCCCCACGCGGGCGCCACGGGCGCCCACCCGGCGCACCCCTCGGCGGGCCCAGCCAGCGCACGTGGGCGCCCACGAGGCGCCCACGGGCGCACCCTCGACGCGCCCACGGGCGCCCACCGCGTGGCGAAACCCTGGCGGACCCATTCCCAGGACAAGTGCGAACTCCTGAGCGAGAGCGCTCTCCGGGGAAGAAGCCCAACCGGCCCCGCGGCAGACTTGCCCAGAGCGAGCCTGCAGCAAGTCGCGACCTTTGAGCCTGTCACGACCCCTGCCCCTCGCATGCCGAGGTGCCCACGACACGGCCGAGTGACCCTCGACGGCCTTCCAGCCTCTGAGCTCCACGAGCGGAGGGCGCGTCGGCCCCCATGGACCTCCCAGTGGAGTGGGGCAGACGTCGGCCAACGCATAGACCTGGGCTCCCTCCCCGCTCCTGCCAGGGAAACGTAAGACTCGAGTTCGGGGGACTCGGGTTGGCCTGACGGGGCCGCCAGGAACATGACGAGACCCACCCTGACAGTTGACGCGAGCTCCCGCTGCAGACATCCCGCGAGAACTGGAGCGTCAGAACCCGGGGCGGGCTCGTCAGACAGCGCAGGCGAACCCGCATCCCGGCGTGCTCGACTCTTACGTTTCCCCGATCGTGTGGCCTGACGGTCCCGTGCAGTAAGTCTGGACCCCGCTCGCCCCAGGACCACAGGTACCCCTTGGGGGAGGAGGAGGAGGAGGAGGCGGAGGAGGAGGAGGAGGAGCAGGAGGAGGAGGCGACGACGACCACACCCACAGGACCCCTGTCTGGACCCCGCTGCTCCGGAGCCTCGGGCCTCCCGCACATCGGGCGCGGGGGCCCCAAGACCCAGCAGCGGCTGTGCTCCGACCACTGTCGCTGCGCACTGCCCACGCGGGTGCCAACGACTGACCGCGGCGACCGAGCACTTCAGACGAGGCACGGACGAAGAGAACATCGGACCTGAATCGGACGTCTCTGGGAGCCAACGGGCTCGAAGGATGCAGCGGCGCCGCGGCCGCGTCAGAGCGTTCCGTGCTCTCTGGGAGCCTCCTGGAGCGACTTGTCGTGGTCCCAGGCCTGCCTGAGGACCCCTCCCTTTGCTCTCATCCCCGATGCCACTCTCTAGCCCACGAGGTTCCCCACGGCCGTCGTCCCATCGTCCACCGCGCCCCCATGCACTGCAGACCCGCTACCTGCGCGCAACCGCACGCCAGGGTGCCTGCCCACCGGGCCCGCGCGTGAGAGCGGCGCCGGCAGCTGTCTGCTCGTATTTTGATCGCGAAATCGCAGCCGCAGTGCGGCGCACTGCTTCTTGGATCGAGAGGACGCGTGCTTGTGAGAGCGCGGTGCGGCGCGAGTGAGCGCGAGCGTGAGCTTGACGACGGCACGTCGAGCGGAACACCAGCGAATGAATGCAGTTGAGGCATGTTGAGCGCGAGCGCCCCTTCGTCCGACCCCCGCGGGCCTCCTCTTGGGGGACGGGCTCGCGCCAGCCTGGTCCGTGCCGCCGTCGATCCTGGGGGTTGAAAAATGGAGCACCTGCCCCAGCCACCTCGTACTCGACCCGCACCATCCTTCGAGTCGCATCATCGATCCGTGCGGGGCTCCGAGGCCCGGGGGGGCGGTTGGGCGCGGAGGCGCGGACGCCCAGCTCGAACAGAAGCGGAACGCCAGGATCCCTCGGGGAGCGCCGCGCCTCGACCAGGTGATGCCAGAAATGCCCTTGGCCCAAGGCGCCCCAGGATTTTTCCGAGGAGGCCCCCGCGGCCTCCGGCGCACCCCTCACGAGGCCCAGAGGCGGAGGGCCCCCGGGGACTCAAAAATTGAGCGAGCAGCTGGGGGCACCTTGGGCCCCGGGGCACCTTCGGCAACCCCTCGGTACGCGCACGAACGACCCTGGGCAACAGTGACCTTTGGTGTGCGGCGTTTTGAGGGCCGCGGGGGGGACCAAGCACAAGCGCGCAGGACGCTACTGTCGCACCGCACTCGGCCATCGAGGGGCCCCAGTGGGCGCGCACTACCAAAGGTCACTCCAGCGAAGGGCCACTCTTAGGTAGAGGCCTCCTAGATGGGGTCCGAGTAGATGGGGTTGGAGGATCGCGCCGCATCGGCGATGCATCGGGGATGCACCATCGACGCATCGGCGACAAGGACGATGCATCGGCGACGCCAGCGCGGAGAATATCGGGCTCCACATCGAGCGGCATCGCCGATTCATCGGCGATGCGGCGCGATCCTCCGACCCCGTCTGCTCCGACCCCATCTAGGTAAATCATAGGTGTGGCCACTTTTATGCGAGGCAGGGATTTATCCATATCCACCGCCTGGGATTCGACGCCCCAATGCCCCAGGCAAGCGGTGGATACGGATATATTTTGGCCCCCGGGGGCCCGTATATGTCCAGATCCACCGCCTGCCGAGGTCCCCGAAAATTGACCCTCCAGGCGGTGGTCATGTATAAATGCCCACCTCGGACCTTAGATCTCAGGCGCGGCCGAACCCCCGACTCGACGACGCGGTGCGCCCTTGGAACAGGGCGCCCCGAGGTCCCCCGAAGCCAACGCGGATTCGTGTGAGGAGGAGGAGGGTGAAGGAGGAGGAGGAGGAGGAGGACGAGGAGGAGGAGGAAGAGGAGGAGGGGGAGGAGGAGGAGGAGGAGGAGGAGGAGGAGGAGGAGGAGAGGGGAGGAGGAGACGATGCACCCAAAAAGGTCCGTCCGACCACCGGCCCCTCGACCTCGGACGACGCAAACGCATCGACGGAGGGAGAGTGGTCCCCAGCTGGGTGGCGCTTAGGTTCCTGTTCGGCCCCCCGAGGGGCGTCCCAACCCTGTGCCACTCCCGCCACCAGCAGGGCCCACAAAAAGATGGTGCTCGAAGCAGATTAGAAGCTAAATAAAGATAAGCCTCGCAAGCGAGGGCAAAAAAAAGGAGGTGGAATAAGAGAGGCACAGGGCACTGCGGGAGACTCATCGACCGCAACATGCCGCCGCCACTGGATCTTCGAACGATCCCCCCCCCCATCCTACGCCCCACCTCCTGGCAAAGCCACCGCCCATGGAATATAGTGAACGACAGAACACAGTGTCGATGAGAGCATCTCACCGCTCGAATGCCAGTTCTGCCGCACCTCGAATGTCGTATGCGCGCTCCAGAGACATAGGAGTCATCTGAGCAAAGCCTTTCGCTTTGTGATGCATATGAAAAGCCAATGCGACTGCCTTAAGGCATTCCTCGCGCGAGAGTTCCGATCCCGCCCGCCCGTAGTCAGACGCCGCCCCCAGTCCCAACAGTACAATCGGTGAACCTGGAAAGTGACGCCTTCTCCACGCAGGGTGCATTGCAAGATGGTGATACATTCTCGAGCAACGCAGGTAGTGTGCAATCTCGCCATGCTCTGCGCAGCCCAAAATGCAGCTCGCGGGGGCGTTGCCTGTGTGCAATATGTGCGTGGTCACCCACGCTCCGCAGAGGGTCTTGATAATACTTCATTGCCAGGCAGGCTTGAGATTCGCGGTGCAGGTCCGGCAGAAATCCCACCGTCCGCCCACAGACCTCCGCCCCCCAGGAATCGGGACCTGCCACGCGAAAAACCTGTTGCCCAACGTCTCAGGGAAAGAGTGAGGAAAAGCGGCTGCCCGAAGCGCGCGAGCGAAAATGCGCTGTGGGTGCGGGCGACGGGCTTCCTGGATGGCTAGTTTGGTGTGTCCACGCGCTGCGCGAAACGCTTCGTGCCATCCTGGCTTGTCAGGGAAAAAAGAGGGCAGAAGCCTCGCCCGCTCCATGAATTATGCGATTGAGAAAAAGAGCTTCCAGCGGGGCGCTGAGTATTTTCCTGCAATGAAGCGAACTATCGTGGCATTGTCTCGGGCATATTCTTTCAAACTGTGCAGCGCACGCAGCCCACGTACGATTCATGGCGCGAGAAGAGGTGCGCCAGCTGCTAGCCCATCCAAGCAAAGAGACATAGGACGGGGCAGTGGCGAGCACAGATGGCAGAGCATTCAAATCAGCAAGACTGAGGCTGTTCGGCGGCAGCCTGAGCAGCTTGTGCAAAGCCTGATGCTCGTGCTTGCGAATCATAGCAGGGATGGGAAACAGCTGGGCGAGATACCAGAGGGTCGAGAGAGCGGCGGTGCTGTGCAGGATTGTAAGAACAGGCGGAATAGCTCCAGAGCGTGGCACAGCAATCGTCCTTGACCACCACCTCTCCGCTGCGGTAGCCCAGATCATGCTAACTGCGGCTGCAGGGCATATTTCGACCCCCAGGTAGACTGTATGTTCAGCGATCTTAAAATTGGCCCACTGCGGGGTCCACCTACAAGGCTCGTTTCGGACCCTGTCCTGGACAGCTCCCGTGCAATCGGTCCGCAGTGGGGACAGGACACATTTGGCCCCTTGGAGCCTGAGAAAGGCAAAACGCTCAACTTCCAGAAAAACACGGGAAACACCAACCAGGTCTCGGAGGCGAGGCATCACCATTCCGACATCGTCAGCACAACCCCCAAGAGAGCCCTTGTGGCGCCTCGCCTGCGGGAACTGCGTGGCCGCGCGCAGTCACCCCAGGATGGGATCCACTGCAAGAGCCCAGAGATAACCAGATGCAGGGCACTCCTGCAGGGCCCCGGGGCAGAGATGAAACAGGAAAGCGATTCTATTTTGAATATTAGCAAAGCCTCGGGGTGAAAAATATTACGCGTGAGTGAAGTTCAGGAAACATGGCGGGGGCCCAATCACACTCATAATCTCGAACAACCACTGGTGGCCCAGAGACGGGAACGCCGCCTCCACATCGTAGGCAGCTGAGATCGGGAGGTCCTCCTCAGCGTCGGGGGCGACGCTGGCCTTGCAGGCCCCCGCGTCCAAAGCGATGATGCTGGGCAAAAATTGCGTCATGGGATGAATCACTGCTGAGTCTCATGGGCACGCTCTTGGGCAACGTGACGGACCTGGAAGTCGGTGGCGGATGCCATGATCGTAGCGTCCGTATTCCTGAGGCTAAGCGGCCGAACCTTCCCCTGGGACCGCGCGCGCCCCTGGGCATCTTCGGGCTCCGAACCATTGGGAAGAAAAGCGAAGAGGCTATCGTTGAGCTCCAGAGGCACCGCGTGTCCGCCGTACAGATATGTAATAAGTTTATGCAGGACAGTAAGTTGTTCGGGTCTAGCTCTCCATGCCGCGCACGAAAGTCGATCGGGGCCAGGGGCTGACCGTCGGGCAAGTTTGAGGGCGCGTCCTACTTCGGGTTCAGTTGGAAGTCTGAGAGGTAAGAGGTCCTGCTGAGGGGCAACCTTGTCGAGGCACTCCTGAGGGGCCTTCTCCTGAACTGCTTTGGCGCCGACGATTGGGTCTCCAATGGGAGGTCAGCGCGGATGCAATCTGCTCAGGATCCTTGGCCGCAGCCGGGGGCTCTCGCAGACTTTCGGGTCGGATCCCTGCGAGGGCGAGACGATGGGCTTTGGGGGCCCAGAGAGCAGCGCGCCTCCTGTGCATCCTTGCAGCTCGTCTCTCATCCTCGACCACCGCCCCCTCCCCTTTGGACGCCCTGCTTTCAGCAAATCTGGCCTCCATCTGTCCGAACTCGTAGTTGGCGGCGTGCGCGATGAGGGCAAACTCCTGCCTGTCGAGGAGCTCGACGGCGCCGTCGGACACGTGGAGGAAGCGCGCGCCGTCGGCGGCGGTGGCCTTCAGCTTCTGGGCCGTGTAGATGTCGTTGCGCCAGATACATATTGCCATTGCTCTCAGGGTGATGATGCGACCTCCCCTGGCACGGGAGTCTTTGGCCGAGATCGGAAGCCGCTGAAGTTCGTCACGAACCTGGCGATCCGCCTCCGCCATGAGGTCTCTCATGCATCGCCAGCGGTACACAAGTTGTGCCGCATCGAGTAGTTGCCCCAAGATCTCTCCGTGGGCCGCGAAAGACATGCCCAGGAATGCTGGTCTGTTGGCCATGCCGAGCGCGGTCGCAAAGGTGAAGGACGATCGGCGTGTGGTCACTGAGCCTGGAGTCAGAACTGGTGGCCGCGCCAATGCCAACCTCTGCTAAGACTTCGACATCGAGGAGACAGTGAGCTGGAGTTTCCATACAGACACGATCCAATGTGGCTGCGGTTGCCGTGCCTCTGCAATGGCGCGCGGGGCAATCCGTCGAAATTTCAGTGAGCATAGAGAAAAAACGTTCCCAATATGCTTGCAGGGTCTGAGATCCGCGACTACGTTCAGCAGGAACAGAGCCAGGGATGAAGCCTTCCGTGATGGGGCCAACGTAGCTGCGATCCGGGCCCGGCTTGGCACCGAAGTCACCAGCAGCCAGAAATGCTCTCGTAGTGGGGCCTTGAAGGTCCCAATCGGCAAGTTCCCTCTATTTCGCCTGTATGTTGTCCTGCGCTCGGCTGCCCAGCTCGAAGTTGCGAACGCACATGAGGTTCATGGCGAAGTTGTCCTCATCATTTGTGAGGGTGAGGAGGGCGACCCTGCCAGGAACTGGAATCTGATGTTGAAATCGAACATGTGGGTCATCTTGGCCTCGAACACCCATTGGAACCAGGAATGCAGTGCCACCCGCCTTATGCGAGAGAGGGTTGAAAAAAAAAAAACCATCTTGCACGGGTGCGGGTAGGTCGCCAGTGCGGCGGTCAGCTTATCCAGCGTTCCTCTGCATTCTTGAATTCGAATCACCGCTCTCCTTCGCATGAACGAGGCGATGTGTTAAGTTTGGCCCTGCGACGATGAGGTTTGTAACGAAGCAGGCTGGTGGCAGACCAAGGAATGATCGCACCGTTGCGCCGCTGCTGGACAGGAGTCCACGGTGGCCATCGTCCGCTGAATAGACCACGTTGACGTATCCACGCTAATGAACGCATGTCCAAATGCAGCCACCAATGGTTGCTTGTCAATCTTGAAGCAGGCGAGGATGGGCACGTCTCATCGTAATTCGAATGGTTCGTCTAGTCTGCATCAAAAGTGGCGATGCCCTTGGCCCGCTGCGCCCCGACGTTGTGATCTGCGAAAGCGTCCCGCCTGATGCGCTGGAGGCGTTTTGTTTGGGGCCCCAGCCTGACCTGCCTGGCGTTCTTGTCGGCGCTGACGCATACAGGGGCACTGGCACTTCCTGTGTCGACGCCGCTGAATGTGCGGAAGCCAGCTGATGCCTCGAGTGCTCGAGAGAGTGCCGGGCCTCGGGCAGGGGCAGCTGCGCCGCCTTGAACATGCAAGTGAAACCGTCGTGGAGGCACGTCACCATGGAGAAAAAGTTGATCAGCAGGTACACCAGAAGCATGTGTATATTCAGCCAGCGCCGTCTTGATAGCCGGTGGTGCCATTGCTCCCGGGGCTCCGATGCTGAGCGCTGTAGGGTCCGGGACTCGGTCCCATGTCGCAAGCTTCTGAACGTCAAAGGGGACTGCCGCTTCTGCCATAGCCAAAGTTGGTTCCATGGCATGCATGTGTTGCGCATTTGTTGTTTATATGACTCCACCTTGTCTGCTCGAGATTGTAGTTCGTGTAAACTTTTGTCATGCACCTCGAGGTGTGACGCGTTCTGCTTGCAGACAGCCAGGAACTCGTGCACCTGTGCGTTGAAGGGCTGCAGTTGTTGAGCAATGAGAGAATGTGCCGTTGCCGTGAGTTGTGCCGTCGCCGTCGCGATTTGCTCCGTTCCCAATGCCGCCAGCCTTTGTTCCACTTGAGCCAAGTCGCCAAGCAGACAAGGAGCATCATGATCTCTTGGGGTTGGTAAGCCACCAATCGGCGTGCCAGCAGCTGGAAGCTCACCTTCAGGAAACGTGGGAAACATTTCCAAAGCTTCTGCAACTTGACGTCTGGCACGTGGCGAGAGAAGAATGTGTTCAGGACCGTGAGGCCGAACAGGTCCTCCGCTAGCTCCTGCGTGTAGTTGTTGGCCAACCGCTGCAGTCACCCAGGGGTCTCGTTCAGCCAGAGCGTCTGGACGTGGAGCCAATGGACCAGATGTTCGCGGTGGTGCTCGGTCTGCCTCACGACGTCCTTCAGGTCCACGATCACGTTCTCTGTTGTCGTCCCGTCTCTCTCTGTCTCGTCGGTCGCGGTGCCGCCGATGTCTGTGTGCACGTGTAGATCCACTGCGGTCGCCTCCGCTCCTGCTCTTGGAGTGACTATTGTCCTGCCGCCTACGATCACGGGGGTGAGGATTAGATCTTCGAGCACAGTCGGAGGAAGGCGAGCTGCTGCTGGAGGCGGGCAGTGTGTCTGCGCGAAAGGATAGGTGATGTGCCTGTTGCCAATGACAAGGTCCGACTCGAAACCAGCGCGTCTTGTCCGCAGTGGAGCACTGGGACGTGTAGTAGTGGCGCCAACGGTTGGACCGTCAGCTGCCTGAGGGCGAACAGAACTATCAGGGATGCCAGCAGCGAGGCGCGCCAGGCTGGTCTTTGGATATGGAGTGCCTGCGTCTGCGCAGGACTTAAGTATGGAAAGAGTCGGGCTGGCGCGGGGCCCCTGGAGTGGCGCCAAAAACTTGGAGGCTGTCCCTGGCCCAAGAGGTCTCCATGCGGCCGCATCTCGACATGGTGACTTGAGCCAAAATGGCTACGGAGGAGAGTGGAGGAGGAGGAGGAGGAGGAGGAGGAGGAGGAGGAGGCGAAGGAAAAGAGTGGAGGAGGAGGAGGAGGAGGAGGGAGGAGGAGGAGGAGAGTGGAGGAGGAGGAGGAGGAGAGTGCAGGAGGAGGGAGGAGGAGAGGAGGAGGATGGAGGATGAGGATGGAGGATGGAGGATGGAGGATGGAGGAGGATGGAGGATGGAGGAGGAGGAGAGGAGGAGGAGGAGGAGGAGGAGGAGGAGGATGGAGGAGGGTGGACGAGGGCGCCCTTGGAACCGCGCGCCCCGAGGTCCCCCGCTTCTGCGGCGGGCTGCGGCCGTCGGGGGCGCCGCCGGCCGAGGGCCGCCCCGCGGCGGCGGGGCCGCCGAGGGGCGGCCGCGCGGCGGCGGGGGCGCCGTGCGGCGGCCGCCCCTCGGCCGCGTCGCAGTACGCCACGAAGTCGCCCAGCGCCCCCGTCCGCGCTTCCTCTCGCGGGCGGGGGGCAGTGCCCAGACTTTGGACGCCCGAAATGGGCACGGAAAGAATGGATACAATGCCCAACAACACATGTTGTCCCAAACCAACAGCGGCCGCTGTTGGGCAGGCGGCCGTCTGTCTCGACTGGACACAGGCCGCGGCGGCGCGGACAGCGAGTCCTGTTCAAAATATACAGGAACTGCTGTTGGGCATTGTACCCTTTCTTTCCGTACCCATTTCGGGCGTCCAGACAGAGTTATGTGGTTCCCATCGTACTTGTCGGCGGCGAGCGAGGGGGGGGAACTGAGAAGGAGAAGGCCTTCTCGGAAGGCGGCGGGACTTCTCAGAAGCCCTCGCGTCTTGTGAGAAACTTGTTCTGTCTTCGGGGAAGGCTTAGAAAACTTCTCAGAAGGCCGGGGGACTTCTGAAGCTTCTGAGAAGGCCTTCTCCTTCTCACTTCCCCCCCTCGATCGCTGCCGAACTAAGGACCACGTCCCGGAAATAACTGCGAGCCCCCAGGTAGATCTCGAAACGGTGTCGAACGAGTATCGCCTCCCAGGGCCCGACACGTGAAAACCCTCCCGATTCGGTACTGTCTTGGTGCTCGAAATTCTTCCTGGTGATCAAGACACAAGTAGGTTGGAACATCATAAACCCAGACACGCTCGCGTCGAGACAGGAAAAAATCATCACGACGGGAGGCGTTGGGCCACTTTCGGCCCCCGGGGGCCCTCACCGGGCCCCGGCACCGCCAAAAAGCAGGCTCAGGATGAGAAACTGATCCCGGGGGATGGGTTGGGTCTTCCCAGGGGCCCCGCATGGGGTACATCGGGACGACGTGTGGCTGGGAACACATGGGCAAAAGCGCGTCCGCCGTCGGGGGTGCCCGCTCCAGGACGGCTGGGGGAGAAACTTGAAACTTGCTGGCCGCCCGGGGGCAGGCTCTCCAGATGGCAGACAAAAGATGTTGCGCCGTTCTTCATCCGCGAACTCCTTCCGGGCCCACTGGACGTAGCGAGGATCCTTCGGCAGCGCGCGCGCAAGGGGCAGGCGCGGGGGGCTGGGCGGCCTTCTGAGAAGGCTGGGGTCTTCTTGTAAGGCAGATGGCTGTTCTTCTATGCTTCTTCTTCTTCTTCAAGCGCTCCATCGATGACCAAATCCAACTTCACCCATCCGACAACATGATACCAAAGCACTGCCTGAGAGGTCAGAGTGCGTAAAACCAGGCCGTGCAAAAGACCAGACCTGCAAACGCAAGTGGCCTCTTAGAGGCCCTTCTGGCTTCCAACCAGCCCTCTTAAGAAAGCCTCCGGGCCCTTCTACGAGGGCCCCCGCCTTCTGAAAGCCACCTCGAGCTTCCGAGAACGCCGCCGCGCTCGCGCCACCCCCTCGTCGCGCGCCGCCAGCTCCTGCCGGCGCACCTCGTCGAAGGTGCGGCCGCGGTGCTTCCCGAAGGCGAATGCGGTGGCGCCGCCCTGGCC